CGCACAGTGTGCCTTGAACAAATTTTTGCCAAAAGGTCGCGGGTTTCTTAACGTATCGCCAGATCCTCCGGTGGACAGGATCACCACCTTTTGCCAAAGCAATGGCAGCGGGGAGGTAAGCAGGGCGCGACGTGTCAGCAACATCTCCCGGTATCTCAACCGTCTCCTGCGTGCACCCCTTGCTCGTCGCCTCATATTGGACAAGACGCTAGTGACTAACATAAAGAAAAACATCTGACACACGGCGAGGAAAAACATTGGCGGCTCCCCCGCCATTTTGGATTTCACGCGTTAGAACATTCGGATGTTCGATGTTCGATGCGAAGACATTTGTGTGTATAAAGACGTCGCGACAGCGGCGTCCCGACAGCGGGAAATATCGCCGCTGTCGCGAAATGCTTCGTCTAGAGTGGGCCTTAAAGAGCAGTAATGGTCAAATAATGTGTCCGTTCTAGGGCTAGCTTCACCGCCTCTGGCGGGACCACGTCGGTATTCGGCCGAGATACGCTGGGAGGGGGGCATCAGCAAGCAGGTCGTTGACCTCTGACATTAATAACACGCCGCCTTGCGTGTTATCATCAAACAGCAATAAATGTAGCTCAAGCGCATTATGTTCGGACACGGTTTCGCAGGTGTGTGTGGCACGTGGACCAGATGTGAGGAATGTGAGTTACCCGAATCGCGGTTTGGGTGATTCCGTATAGACACGGCCCTATTCATGGTTGCTGCTCAATGCGTTTTGAATGCGTCATTAACGTGTTTCAAGATCCAACCACGCAAACCAAGATGAATAGAAGCGGCCAATGGAATGCCTGAGTGCCTAATTAACTTACACGGCTGCTTTTTCATTGTCGCAGTAATAAATGACGGCACACTGTTCCCATGCAACACTTTTGTATTCCTGTAACGCTTTCGGTGGTAGGGACGTTTCAAAATTGATGTTAGGGAAGGGAATGTTTAACAGAAAAATAATGGTCAACCCCGTTATATAGCTAGCTCAGATGTATTTTTTATGATATATATCGCGAATTTGTGCAATGTTTTTGCATCGTTGCAAGTATTATTTGTATTAAAATAATAAATACTATACGTATTGTATTTAGATAATACTGTATACGTATCGTATCTAAATACTATACGTTTGTATTGCAATAATATACGTTTTGTATTTGAATACTATACGTATATTAGGTATATATAGTATTTAGATACTCCGAATTATATTTTACGTTTGTATATCTTAATTAAAAACGTATATTTCTTGATGATTATATCATATATTGGATATGAGTATCCATAAGGGTTGTATTATGACACTTACAGCTGGTTCATTTGATTTAATTATACCTGAACATGTCATACGTTTGATGACCATATATAGTTACCGTGTGTAAGTCGATTTTACGGCGCCCCAAATTCAATTAGTCAAGGAACGTTGCGTCTGTAAGGGTGATCATTTTACACCAAACGACGCCGTTTTGTTGTTTTTACTGCGAATTTTATCAATCAGTTTCATTACATTCATGTCTACAGGATTTTAGGACTAGATACATATGCTGAAAATTTGAGTTTTCGTTGTAAAACCTCAATTCACATAAAAAAATGTACGTCTTTTCAATTCAAGAGGGCCTAGGACAATTTTGGTACACCCAACAACGTGTTGTTTTTGTCGTGGCTTTTTATTCACTCGTAATTTGCGTGTTTTGTGTGTGTTTCGTGGTTGCGGCGTTGCTAGACACCCTAGCACTACCACGTCCTGCCTATAGACCACTTGTATACATACGAGCCTACCCACTAAATAGGGGGGACCTAGCCTGGTATCCAGTCTTATCGTGGTCGGGGCGGGTTTATCGCGGGGCTGCAGGAGCTCTTCTCCGCCTGTTTCAGCTAGGTTTCCCGGTAAGAATTTCACGATGGTACATTGATGGGGCAAATCAACATCTCTATTAGCGTGACACTCCTACCGGGCGGTCTGTTGCACTGGGCGGGGGGAAACTGTTACAGCCCCGAAGACACAGCCTGCCCCGACTACTATGCCCCAACCACGATAAGACTGGATACCAGGCTGAAGGGGACCTTGCCTATAGAGCTAGAGAATGGGGACAATTCTTTGCGCATACAAGGGTGTTTTTTGTTCCAATTGGGCCCCTTGGCGGCTGGCGTTGCCAGGAGTCGTCCTACGCCTGAACAAGATTCCTGAAACGGCCGGGGCGCTAAGTTTGTGTACACTAAACTCTGTACAAAAGAGGACTGGCCCCTTCTATTTACCAGGGGTCATCGTGGGAATGCTGCACATATCCTCTTGCAGAGGAAGGAAAGGAAGGATTAGGGGAAGGGGGGTTGAGGAGTGGCACATGTACTAAAAATACTGAATTAAATCAATCTGTCGTGCGATATCCCTCCTGTGAAACATGACCCCATAGGTGGCGACTGATGTGAAAACTGACTCGCTCATCTGATACGATGGCAGTGGAAGGAAATTTAAGGAAGGGTTTAGTGGAGGGGGAGTATTTTGAGGAGTGGTACTTAGTACTAAAAATACTGAATAAAACTAAATCTGTCGTGCGATATCCCTCCTGTGAAACATGACCCCATAGGTTCGACTAATGAGAAATTTGACCCGCTCTTCTGATACGATGGCAGTGGAAGGAAATTTAAGGAAAGATTTAGTGGAGGGGCTATTCTGAGGATTGGTACTAAAAATACTGAATTTAACCAATCTGTCGTGCGATATGTCTCCTGTGAAACATGACCCCATAGGTCGCGACAGATGAGACAAAATGACCCGCTCACCTGGTACGATGGCGCTAGGGTGTCCTCTATGTCGTTGTCGATTTCAGGGGAGTAGTTTTCGACCCCCGAGTCGTCTCCCGTGCCCTCGGGATCCTTCCCCACCCTCGGGGAGATACGAGTTCTACCGTCGGGAGTCAAGCTGTTCTCCCTTTGGGCAGCGTTTCTATGGTTCTTGACGGCAAGTCTGTTCGAGTCGCCGGTGTGGTTTCGCCGGGCGCTGGCGGGTTGCCTGCCGCCGGTGTACTGCCGGGTGTCCCGTAGCGCTTCGTCCAACTCCCCGGTTAGAATATTGACCTCGGCGTCCACAGTCCTAGTAACGGAGAAATCACTCTCAGTCTGCCAGTACGGCGATTTTCTACCCGTCTGCTCACTGGCGATACTCTGAGATCTCGACCCCCGTTTCTGTCGTTTTTCTCCGCTTCTTTCCTTCCCGTCTTCTCTCCCATGGTCAGCGGGGATAGTTTTCCTGGTGTTCCCGTTTTGCACGTGCCCTTTGACGGCCTTCTGAGGTACGGTCTCCGGCGATTTCTTGCTCGATCCCGTTCCCATATTTGCATCCCCTCGTAGCAGGTGTCCTCTCGTTGCCAACGCTCCTACCAACCCGACCAACGCTTCGAACACATTTTTCTTCTTTTTCTGAGAGAAAACGGGGCCCAAATACGCTGCTGAGTCACAATCTGACGCACGTTTTAGCTTGAAGAGGAGATACGGCAGAATACGTGGTCACGCAAGGCCTGCACCATAACAAGTGCTTCAAACCCTTTATAAGACTGCTTCCTACATCTGAATCACGGCACTGTGACGTCACCAAAGCGCTTTGAACTCCGGGCCAATCAGCGCGCGCCTACTAAACAAACGTGTCACAAAGGGTTCGAGGGTAAGCAGCAGGAATGGCGATTGGTCCTGAATTTTCTTTACGTCATGATCGAGACATTTTAGAATTTTAACATCCTAATTATTTACATGACAATCATCTATAATAATTATAGCATAACAGGGGTATTAATAAAAAAAAATACCGATGGTAGGCATGGAAAATCAAGTAGACTGCCTTCAAGGTCGCACAGTTTCGAGAAATAATAGGTGAGATCTTTCCTCCTGCTAGTAACATTCACGGGTGAATTGTTACCAAGAGGCGCTTTTGAAGGGTTATCGGGCAGTGATTACGGCGCCTGAAATCGTCACGGGCCCTTGAAACAAAGGCCTCGGTACAACTGCAGTGTTTGCTTATCCCCTAAAGTGATCCTCGCGGCTTGGTGTACAAGTGGTCGCCGAAGGGACGGCACGCTCCACGACATAATAACGTTCTAGAACTTGGAGAGAATATTGAGTAGAAGACTAAGAGATCGCGGCTTAGCAAAGATCAACCTTTAAGCCGCGTGTTTGTGGATTATGTCACTAATCGCTTGCAGAAAAACACGCGACTTTAGCTGCGGGTTCGGCGTTTCAAAGTCCACAGACATACCTCGGTTAAACATGAGTAAATATTGATAAGAAAGGTGTGTACATATCGGTTTGTGTGGGCCAAAACTAACATTGACAGACTGGTAGCACTTTCCCTCAATTCGACACATACTTTCTAGACCTTGCCCTTTAAAGGCATCCAGTGTAGTTTTTTGGGCTTAGAAACCCAATTTTTCAAAGTCAATATTCTAGTTACTTATCTACATACTGAGTTGAAACCACACTATCTCAATAGATATTGACCCTCATGGAGCAAAAATACCCAAAATTCCGACGGAAAATGGTTACTGGAAGGGCCCATGGCTGATTTTCAGGGTACCACCCATAAAATAAGGGACTCATCTTGGGACTTGTTTCTGCATTTTTAATTAGCCAAAGTATGAAATAATGATTGAAATGTGCTAATGTGAAGCAGTATGTGTCAATATCATACAGATTGACTTATTCAGAATATTTCTAGTTTTGCAGTTGTGAAATCGAATTGGATGCCTTCAATGCGTTTCTTTAAACATTGTTTTCAATTCAGTTTTTTCTTATCTTTTTTTCTTCCCAGAGAAAGTCAAAGAAAGCATCTGACGCATTGAAATGTTGATATGTCATTTAACAGTTTAAAAACTCTTTTCGTCGATCAGCAACTATATAATATACTACACCAGATCTTTGGAATGCATTTGCGATTTATTTTGTTTGTTTGTTTATTTGCTTCCTGATTTATTCACTTGATACAGGCAATTTTGAGTTAAGAAAATCAAACTTTCTCTTTTATTGTTTTCCCCACCCGCTCGCTCACTCACTCACTCACTCACTCACTCACTCACTCACTCACTCACTCACTCACTCACTCACTCACTCACTAAGTTTTGAGGAGACAGGTCCTGCTGCAGAGCCAGAGTTGCCGCCAGACGGCGCTACTGAGTGGACCAATCATCGACAGATTGCCAAATAAGCACTGAAAACAACTTGTACCAGTCTGTAACGTTACTTTTATTATAACAGGCCTGGTTACAACACCCTATCACTGTGTTAAAAACTGTAAATTTACCCTTGAAAGTACATGAGGTCAAATAGCAACATTTAAGGGAAAATGTTGCCAGGGGAAAAAGACATATAAAAATTGCGAAATGCCTCAAATGCAAATCCGATACAAAAAAAATACTAGCCTAAAATGTGTTAGAAACAAACTCACTTCCGATTATTACAATAATTATACATACTACTACAAAAATTAAACACAAAATTCATTTTTTTAGTTGTATCAGCGTTCAGTGTATAACATGTTAACAATGGGTGAAGTAGAAAAATACGACATGACTAATTTAAAGCTGTATGTAAGATAGCCCGCCAGCAGGCACATACAGTAATTTCGCTTGTAACAAAAATGATTTTTCATATTCTTTTGTTGTTCCATAATCCAGTGATTGTTCTGTAGTTCAGAACTGGTTTGTACCGGTTTGAAGTTGTTTGTGTCTGCTTGATCAGGTTTGTACCGGTTTGATCAGGTCTGTACCGGTTTGAACGGGTTTGAACCGATTTGTACCAGTTTCAGGAACCCTGAACCCTGGTGACCTCTCCGTCAGTGAACCCTGTGATGCTGCACTTCGTCCTCTGGAAAAACCGCTCGATTGAGGTGCCAGTACGCTATTGGTGGGACAGAAAAATCAATTACAAAATCAACCAATGGATATAGTCAGTCTTTCCATATATGACCTGCACCAAATAACTAATGAACATAACAACGAAATATGACTGCTGTAAACCTATATTAGCAGATGAAAACAAACACAGACACCAAAGTACTAGACTAATACTTTGAGATCTTTTGACATACTAACGTAGATCTATTATACAGATAGAAGAACTTCATTGCACGACAATTGCACATGGTACAATGTATGACAAACTACATAAAGAGAGTAGCAAACAATAAAATGTGTTGGAAAAGACCTAATGTCGAATAAACCTAACAAATCTACATCATAATTATTCAAATAATAAGGGATAGCAGAAGTCTTTGATAAAGTGTAACAATCGAGTGGGCTAATTACAAGTTTCGGAAGTTTTTCTAATAACAAAGCATTCCTTTATCTACCTATTTTTGCGTTGTGGGAACCATTACATGTAAAGATATATTCAAATCTGTCTCTAACATCGAGTATAAAATATAATAGAAATATAGATAGAAACTACATATGTCAAGTTTATATTTATAATTATATGTAAGGAATCATACCAGATATTCTTTTTTAGCCCGGCTCAACAGCGCGTTGGTCTTCCGTTTCTAATAAACAAGGAAAAAATATTCAGGTGTATAACGTTAACAAGCTATATACTGAGCTCTGTATACGGACCGTGTCCCTACAACATCCACACAACAAAAGTCCACACAACATGCCTAACTTTACCCGTGAATAACTTACGCCGAACTTTATAATTGGACTATCATATAGCCGGGTGACGTTGACCAATCGGAAGGCTCCATTCCACATTCCTTATGATGCCGTAATGTCACAAATAGAGTCAAAACCGGGTATTCATTCATCCCAATCCATACATTAAACAACCCAATAATCACCCGCATATGACCTCGGGTGACCCATATAGAACACGATTCTGTTCTAAAAAAAATAAAAACTTGAGTTGTGTTCCAATGACCTCGGGTGACTTCCATATTATTAAAGAACACCTGATCCCTGCCTGTGACCCAGATACAACGTAAACCCTACCCAGTGACCTCAGGTGACTCCAGATGGAACTATGCTCTATGTTCTATTCAGCATGTGCAACGGGTAAATTGTACATTGTGTCACTCTTACTGCATCAGTTTGGATAGGCTATCGTGTAAGCTATATGATAATAGCGTTAATGGCCCGCTCTCTCTCGGTGAGTATGGTGTGATAAAGCCTTGTCAGTTGCCATAACCACCGAATAAAGCCACCTCGTTCGCTGCGCTCACTTGGTGGCTTTATTCGGTAGGTTATAGCAACTGACAAGGCTTTATCACACCATATTCACCTCGGGGCGGGTCATTAACCCTTAATTAACGGTTGTTTTATACTGTACATTATATTTTTTTGATTGGTTCAACCCGAAACAGCCAAATTCAAATTTGCATATGTGCATATACGGTCACCATCAGATTTACCATGCAGGTGATGACCTCTATGTTTAACCATCCAACATGGCGGACAATACATACGTCATAGTCACGTGAGCGCAAACACGGTGTGTGCACACTGACCTAACGTCACAGCTCATCAATATGGATAACCGCCATGTTGGTGGGTTACGTCATATACGGACTGAATATACTAAATGATACATTGATTGAAATGTTCTAATATGAAGCAGTATGTGTCAATATCATAAAGATCGCCTTATTCAGAGTATTTCAAGTTTTGCTGCTCTGAAATCGCATTGGACGCCTTTAATTTCATAATCCCTCATTTCTTCGCGATCGCCTCACCTTTCTCCAAATGAGGATCCCGAACACCAGGTGTGCAAAGATGACTAGACCTCCCAAAACGGCCATGGAGATGCGGTCAAACACCTGTGGGTTAGGCACGGCGGAAACCAGCGCGTTTTGTACCGCCACCAGGCATTGGAAGATCATACACAACAACACGTACTTGTCCTGAACAAAAAACAACAATAACATTGCACTATGAGAAATTTACATGGAAAATTCAGAGATTTTGTGAATTTGTTGTTTTAGCCATGCATTGTGAATGTCTTTCTTTTCATCTATATCTATGTATTTTCATACTATTGACACCCTGTGAACAGCCACCCAGGCCAAATCCATGTGTCTCGTTACCAGCGTCTGGGACCTAACTTCCTGTGCCTGACCTTTTACTAGTATGCCTTTAACTTTCCTATAATCTTAAAGGCATGCAATTTCTGGATGAGGAAATCTGGTCCGATCTTGACATTTACTTACCAGCAGCGTTAGGTAAGAGATGGTCGGCAGGTTCTGTGAGACCATGAACTTGAAAGCCACCGAAGTTAGCAGAAGCGTGAGGCTGACGCTCAGGCGGGATTCCGGCTTGTCGGGAGACACCGAGAACGCCGTGAACGATAGCGACATGATCAGGAACTGCAGCAGAAAAAATCCAATTATCTCTATTCAGTCACGAGGTCGTAAGGTCACATGTTTAAAGTAATTGGGTCAGCCATCCTGAAGAGGGATGTACGTACGGCTGGAAATTTGGATTGAAAGTATTCGAGCTTCTATAAATTGGGAAATTACAGTTTAAAACTGCTTCAGAATTCTATGATCATTATGAGAAACTTTAAACTGTTCTCTAAGTTGAAAACTAGCTAAATCTTATGCCCCAATTGGTATGATCACGAAATTTTCTTCACGTGTGACGTCAGCAATAGTTAAAAGTTCGTCGGAAGTTTATATCATCCCCCGTCACGAAAGAACGTCGATTCGCAATGATGTGGTTTGGTCGAACATTTCAGTAACACCTTGAGTTGGATAACAGATGAAAGTTCCCTATAATGTATTTTACCGACTCAGATGAATTTTCATGATAATTTTATGATACTTGTAATAATTTTATAATAATTATTATAATTCGTGGCGTCGCGTGGCGTAGTGGTAGATCACCCGACTGTGAACCGGGAGACCCGGGTTCGATCCAGAGTCGTATCCGGGCCATGTCTGGACATGCACTTTACGTTGGACGTTGTGCACTTTAAAGGCACTTTACACGACTTTCCTCACTCCACCCAGGCGTGAATGGGTACTTAACTTCGGTTGGGGAAGCCGTATTGAGGTCACCTTGGCAGCCGCACAAAAATGTGGAACAATTATGTATCATGACATTGTGTATTATGTGTATTATTATGTGTATTATTACCATTTGTATCATCTGATTGTAAACCCTGCGCTATAAGGCTGCGATTGCACGGGTGATGTTTGGCAAAGAAACCATTACCATAAGTAAAGCGACGTTCCAGACGTAGAAGCCTGTCTTCCGCTTGACGTGCAGAGTGATGTTGTAGAGCGGGAACTGTTTGTCTGACGTAGACAGGTCCCTTTTCGTGACGTCATGCTCACAGAGAAGATGCCCATACAGCTTCCACTCCTGGGAAGCTAGAAAATAAAATTTGATTAAAATTAGCTTTTCAAAAGAGTCTTACACTATATTTTGTAGCTATTTTAAAGGGCTTACCCTGGGGACAATACACCATGGCGAAACACCCAGTAAGTTAAAGTGTATATGTCACCTCAATAAATAGGTAAAATGGATATAGATATGAAAACTATATGTCTAAAATAGTAGTTTCGATATATTTGTAGTCCCGAAAATTGAGAAAAGTTGAAACTAGAAAGATATTTGCAAATGCATAATGTTGACCACATATTCTAGCTCAACAAAATAGTGTTCTGTCCATTCGTACTCAATCGCATTCACATATATGGTAACCAGCCCCTCCATGCCACTTGCTACATAATGTAATCCAACACACAAGGTGTCTGCTACAGCACCAGTTATCATGGTGACAGCGGTTTGGTCCAGGTCATGAACCTTATACATGCGGTTGAAGAAGAAGAAGGAAGATCTAGAAGAAACAGAGTAAAAACTAGAGAGGCCGACATTTGCTTGGGAGCAAATACAGCATATTTCAGTCCATCTCCCTCCCACGCAAAAGTGGACTATTCCAAACTTACCCCAGTGTAAAACTGGCAAAGATTCTCAAATAAATGAATTATATAGTAGCTATGTAAGTGAGAACAAAGATGCAAGAACAAGCACATTGAATCTCGAAAGCTTTACTAATCTTATTACAGGTATGCAAATACTAACAATGATGAGATTTGATACATTTTGAAGGTCTTAGGCACATAAAATTGAATGTGTGGGTCATTACGCACGACTTACGTGCAATGTGACCCCAGGTAACCCGCAATGGAACATGTGTTCCATGGCCAACGGCAGATGGAACAGGCCATTCTTTAGATAGAACATGGAACGGGTATAGCACTTTTGGCCCTTTTTTTGCTGAAAAGAGCCATTAAAGTCCCCCAAATGAGTCATTTGGAAGTGGTGTATGCCAAATATATGACTGCTATTCTGTAGACACATGTTCAAGGTACCCTTATACCGAATTTCAGATCATTTGGTTGTAAAACCAGGGCTCAGGATCCAAAAATCCATTTTTTTGCGAAAAATGCCCCAAAAAACCTTCATAAAAATTTTTCAAAGGCATTTATCAAAAAAATGGAAAAAAAAACGCCTGGGGGTATTGGCCCACTCTACCTCCATGCCAAATTTCAAGTCATTTGGCTGAATGATGGCGGAGTTGAATCCCTTTGACTGTTTGGCAGGAGAAGGAGGAGGAGAAGAAACATGAGAGAACACAATATATTTCATCCATACCATGGTATGGACTGAAATATAACAACACGTTTTTCCTTCTGCAAAGGTAATCACAAAAACAATCAGGATGTAATTACCCGTAAACGTATCAGTCCGGATGGTGTCCTTAGCTCCCATGTTCTTCCTGAGCTCCACCTGGTCAATCGGCCATCTGGACCTCAATTTAATGGTCAGCTTCTAGAAAAAGGTATAGAAAAACTCATGATGATCGTTTCTCTACGACTATATATCATCATATATTGATTGCAATTTAATTTCTTCTAACATACGGAAAAACAAAGTATTTGATTTTGTACCTAGAAAAAGTTGTGATTAAAGCTTTCTTTAAGCTAGATGCAGCAACAACAAAATTACCATAATCTTCACCCCTTCCTCAGGTTGTAGTAGCCCAGTAGCTCACTTGTTCAGTCACGTGACGTGACGTCACCAATAGGCCAACTTTAATGGTTAAATCTACTAACACAGAGTCCATGTAACAACTTTAGGCCTTGTATCTCTGTTTAAACTCTAGATCTTACAGGAAGAGCCTCTAAGATAAAAAAAAAGAAGCATACCTGGTAATCGAAGGGAAAGTTTGCAAGTTTCATCGGTTCCTTGAAGGTTGCCTGGACCCTCCTTGTGATCTGTACGATGGGGATGTCATCCATGTCGTTGTTCAGAATCAGGTTGTGTTTGATCTCTTCTTTATCCACAGTCACGGCGTTGAACAGCACGATCCTCGGATCCCATTGGTCCGCCCAATCAACCTCCTGATTGGTGAATGGAAAATGGAGTCATTCATTAGCCACGTGGCTATGACGTAAGTTAGCATCCGCCATTTGGGTGTTTTGAGAACACCTGCAGACGAAATGGAATCACCCGCGCCAAGCATGGCCAATCAGAGATGCCATACGTATGCCATGACACGTGCTTGCGACGAAAATACTGCCTGCCTAATGGTCCCCGTTAGTTATCGAAAATACTGCTCGCCTATTGGTTCCCATTAGTCAACAAAAATACTGCTCGCCTATTGGTCCCCGTTAGTCTGCCAATTGCAAAATACTGCTCGCCAATTGGTTCCCGTTAGTCAATAAAAATACTGCTCGTCAATTGGTGCCCGTTAGGCTGCGAAAATACTGCTCGCCAATTGGCCCCAGTTACGTTGCGAAATAACTGCTCGCCTATTGGTTCCCGTTAGTCAACGAAAATACTGCTCGCCAATTGGCCCTCGTCGGATTGCCAAAATACTGCTCGCCTATCGGCCCGCGTTACGTTGCGAAATTACTGCTCGCCTATTGGCTCCGTTAGGGTAGAGTTAGCCAACCAGGAAACGTGGCGATCACCTCCTACTTACCTCTCTGTCTTTCTTCCCCTTGAGCAGCGGTTCCTTGAAGCAGGCGGAGAGCCAGACTTCAGCCGAGAAGGACTGTTTCACGGTGTCGATATCCGTTAGAGTGACGATAGACGCCTTGATTAGTACACGGACCTGGGAGGACAAGAATATAAACCGTGTTGTTTTCAGTGTCAATTAAGAAGCAAGTTGGAAAATAGATTATTGTTGCAACATAGTGATACAAAAAAATAATAAATTTCAATCCGTCCTCAGAGTCTATGGCCATCTTCAGGACACCTGACCCTCAACGCCGGGCACGTGATTATGACACGTGACTCAGGAAAAAGGGCGAACTCGAACGTCTCTGAATATTCTGGGAGCCAGCGTTCTAGTAAATAAGAGGTCGACGTGGGGGAATTCAGGAAACCGATGATTTGTTTATTTGAATTTACCACAGGTGTGGAAGGGAGGGCAAAACAGGTGCATTGAAACCTTTACAAGTTGTCCTCCCGATGATGGTACACTTCCCGAAAGTCTGAAATTTCAAAGGTCCCCGTTCTAACTGAATGATAACTGGTGATTTCTGATCCAGTCTTTGATTTCAGATATACTGATGAGAAGCGTACCTTCTTCCCGTCAGCTCTTTTCTTGTGCCAGACCTCACTACTGCTGATCCGCTGGTTGTTCGCAATCTGTTTGAGGACGGCTAACACCCCTGTCTCCGACATGGTAGTGCCTGCATCGTCTTAGAACAAAACGCACAAAGAACGACATCAGTCAGCCTGAGAGAAATGTTTAATTTTTGTTTATGAAACAGTCTACTTTTTCCACTAGAAGCAGTATTTTCAGGCAGAAAAAAGCAAATCCTTCAACACAGACGGGGGGCGCAACAGACTTTCTGCAACCTATGCTCCAATGCCCACCGAGTTACGTGTGTCATCTGCATACAGAGACGTCACACGGAAGCAGTGAACTGTTTATCCTTTGACAAAGACTGTTGAACAGTCGAAAATTTGGGTAAGTCCAATTTCTTGTGTTTCAGGAAAATCTTATAATTAAGCTTGCTTCATAATGACTTTTACCAACACAGATAAAATTTCAATAGAAAACAGTAATTTCTTTTTCTTTTGCCACGTCTTTTGAGGATATTGGCTAGGCGTAATTTTCAATGTATATGAACACGAGTATTCCTCAAATACCTGTTGGCTCAAATGATCCATGAGACGCCATTGGCTCGTCGAGAAGGCAAAATCTCACGTGACGCGAGTCCATCTAAAAATAGCACAGAGATACTGTCACAAACAACCAATCAACATCAACTTTGTTAACCATGAATTACGTACAGCCAATGGCGTCATCGCTATCTTGCGTAACCCACATCTAGAATCTACTACTTAGGCCATGTTGATTTAATTATATGGATGACATCCGCGCGCGCATGAATTTTCGGCCATTTCCAAAAGAAAAGGTTTCAACCATACTGTAAATCATACAAAACAGTTGTAAAATGAGCAAATATATACCGTAAGTTGAAAAATAAATATTGCAAAAACGATACCAATGTCGTAGAGTGCCAAAATCAAACGAAAAAGACGAGAATATAAAGAAACAAGAGTTCCGAGATCTCATACCTCCATGAAATATGGGCTTGATATGTAAATGTAAATTTCTTCTTTAATTATGCAAATGACCTCTGCATTAACATGATATATGCATCGTGATGTATGTTAACTTTTGATTAACTTACAGATGTCCCAAGTATGACATTTCCATCATTCACCATTAAGAAATTATTGAATTTTCGCATTAATTATGCAAATTAGGTCATAATTTGCATAATTAGTATCTGTTGATGTTCCTCCTACCATAGGTTACATACGTTACATGTATGAAAGTAGTATAATGTAAAATACTGTAATTATAGAATTTCCTAATTAATAATGCAAATAAAGTCCTCATTTGCATAAGTTGCATTTAATTTCTCTCTCAGCTACCTACACACCGAAAATGATGAAAATACATTGTTCCTATCAGGACTTATTGGCTTTTAAAGATTTCGCCAGAAAGTGCCCTGCAGTTCCAGAACAAGCTGCTAGGACTAAACTCACACCACTTATTCCTGACAGGAAAAGCAATCTGTCACCAAAACATCAAGACCATAGCATGTTCAGGACAAAAGATACAAAAACCGGAAGTTCTGCTGCAGTACCAAGGTCATCCACCAGGAGGCCCATATTTGACCTTGACCTTTGCCTTCCTAAGACTTATCAACATACCAAATATCATCATAATCCATAAAGGCGTTCTGAAGTTATGCTGACTACAAATGGGCGGAAACACACACACACAGAGACGCGCCAAAAACAATACCTCCATTTTTCATGGAGGTAATAACCTCAATGACCTGGACCAGACCCATTGTGATGTTGGGTTACATTATGATGTAGCAGGAGGCTAGTCACCATGTGTATGAATGTGTTTGAATAAGAATAAACAGAGCAGTAGTTTTTAGGCTAGACCAAGGGAAGGTAAACATTATTTACTTGCTTCGCAAATGTTGAAGTTATGCTGACTACAAATGTGGGGAAGCACAAACACACAGACAGACACACAGACAGACACACAGACAGACACGCTAAAAACAATACTTCCATTTTTCATGGAGGTAACAATAACATAACGTACGTCGTAGTCAAGTGTGTGCAAACCCCAATAAAGCTGAGGGTGCTGATATTTTCCTTTCACCATTGCTGTGGCAGAAAGGAATATGTCGTACCACGTTCGGGGTTTTTATACCAAAAATGGGTGTGTGCACTTAAGACAATTGTACCTTTCACAGACAGTGGTCTAATGCCTCCGGCCAAAAAGGTTATGACAAGACAAAAACCGTCGACGGTCTGTCGCGAGTCGGCAGTGCCTGATGTGGTCTTTCAGGTAAGTCCGACTTCTTGCACGTTGTGCCCGAGGCAAAAATATGGCAACGATTGCAACACACCCATGTCTAACAAAGCCATGGTTTGGCCCCTGTGACATTAGTCCTCCACAACTAAACCACGACAGCCAGTTCAAAATATTCTCCCGATATTCGGGGACGTACGGAATCTCGGGGATGTATATGTAAAAGATCCAGCTGTTTCTCCGACGGAAAAGGCTGCCATAGGGTCTTCTTAACGGGCGGTTTTGTCATTGTCTCAATAATTTATCGTACAACAACAGAACTTGTCAGACGCAATCACGTCAGGCACTGCGGGGGTGGGGGGATGGGGGCTCGTCACTGAGTGCCATCCAGTAAATTTCTAGCGGCGACCGATGTATGAATAATTTATCAAGGCCCACGGACGCGGTTCTTTCACTTGTAGAGTAGCCAATTACCACTGATCCGGCACAAGATGTGCGAAAACACGTACTTCACAACCATTGTTCGTCGATATAAAGCATTACAAAGAGAATTTTCGTAGGACTGCCATTACTTTACAACTTTGCAGCTTGTGTATTGAGAACGGGTATCTTCATAATTCTGCTGGCTGTTTGTAGAAGAACGGCACAATGAAACAGTTTTCAATACCATGACGACTTAGCAGTTAACACGCAATGAAGCCTACTTTTTACGCAGATTGTAGCACTATGTGATGTTACACAAACTAATTATTATAGTAGATGTTTTAAGGAATTCACAGAAATGACAATGATAGATAATGTAACGCATAAACATTATACAGCACATGAAGAGTAACACTAATGTAGTCGTGTTTGGCAGGGTATGGCAAGTTATAGTAGGTACATGTATCGGTTCAATCTTTAACGGGTAAGTTGACAGCAACAAGCAAGATGCATAGGTTCTATTAATACCTGAATCCATATGTAATGAGAAACATGAAGTTGCCGGGATTTAAGCTGCACAAAGCGTACAGAATTCGAAATCTTAGCTAGAGCATATTGTGCGCCACATGGACCACCACTTGCAGAAATAATCCTACAACACCTCATACAAGTTACATGTTCAGTCCTCGCGTGTTTCTTTTCTCTAAATTTATGACGTCTTGTGACGAAAAATATTGTCGCAGATCCGTGTCAACTGTCGTGCGATGCCGTTACGAACTGTGGAAGTACGTTTGATCAGGCGACACGTGCACGACACGACACTTAACAGTTAAACAAACGCTCGTATTGTTCATAGTGAAGATTAAGGATGGTATACTTTACGATACGCGATACCACACACACACACACACACACACACACACACACACACACACACACACA